TGTGTGTGTGTGTGATAGTTTTATACACATCCTTCAAAAATGTTAACTAATTGTATTGGAAACATTTCCACAATGACTAGTGATTCTCAAGATATTTTTTTTCTATTTAAGAGTGAGACAAGTTGGGTGTGGTGCATGCCTATAATTTCAGAGGCTCGGGAGGCTGAGGCAGGAGGATCTCTAGTGCAAAGCCAGTCTCAGCAATTGAGAGAGGCCCTAAGCAATTCAGCGAGACGTTATCTCCAAATGAAATATAAAAAGGGCTGGGGATGTGACTCAGTGGTTAAGTGCCCCTGAGTTCAATCTTGGGTTAAAAAAAAAAAAAAGAGTGAGGCTCTTAAAAGGCTTATTTAAAATGTTGTTTTCACACTTGGAGCTTGTTGACTGGGCCTTCAACATAAAAGTGATAGGTTATAAACCCAGTCAGCTCATTATCGGATCCACCCAAATGTCAATATTCTGACATTCTAATCTAATCTATTTCTGTTTTTTCTTTTTGCAGTACTGGGGATTGAACCCAGGGGTGTTCTACCACTGAGCTACATCCCTGGTCCTTTTTATTTTGTACTTTGAGATAAGAGTTCTCTAAGTTGTTGAGGCTGGCCTTGAACTTGTGATCCTTCTGTCTTGGCCTCCCCAAAAGCTGAGATTATGGGCAGGTGACACCATACCCCTTTATTCTCATTTAAAAACCATTTGATTAAAGTATATATACATTAAAAAAAAGTTCCCATAAATGTGCAACCTGAACACACATGTCAATCAGCATTCAGATTAAGAAACAGCACATTAACAGTACTTTAGGAGCATCCTCATGTGCCCTTACATAGTTTTCACTTTGGGATATTACAAAGTGTGGGTATTGAGGATTTTTTTTTTTTTTTGTACATGACCTCTTGAACTTATGGGTATAAAATTAGGAGTAAAATTCTTGGGACAAAAGCTATTCATATGTTCAGCTTTAGTTGACCTTTATTGCCAAACAGTTTAAGTAATTGTATCAATTTGTATTCTCTTCAAGAGAATAAGTTCTTTGATTGCTCCACAATCTTAACAATACTTGGGATTTTCTTTTTCTTTTTAGCCTTGGAGGTAAAGAGTGATATTACATTATGGTTTTCATTTGTATTTCCTATTTATATAGTGCTTTTATATTTTTAGGTGTTTCAAGAAGAAACAGACAAAATGGAGTGAGTTAATCTTCTATATTTGCTAGAAATTTATTCCTTATGGCTATTTATCTAATGGGACTTGGAACCTTTTTCTCTGTATTGGAAGAAATATAATATAGACAATGAGGACAACACAGTTCACAATTATATGTGAGGCAGCTAATATGTACTATACTGAGGATTGATTCCTAGCTCCAACGTTTACTTGCTGAGATACCTTGAGAAAGTTATTGAACTTTCCTCCATTTTATGTAAAATGGCACTAATAATAGTGCCACCTCATGGAGATGAGGATTAAATGACATAAGATAAATAAAATGCTTTGTGAAATTCCTAGCATACTGAGCAAGTACAAGTCAACAAATGGCAGCTATTATTATATTTTGTATTGGTTATTTATACACATCTCATTTTTCCTTCTGCTTTACATAGTTCATGACAAAAGAACAGCTTATAGCACATATTAGTTGGCTCACATATAATAACTGCTACCAAAGACTGAATGAACGGGGCTGGGCTTGTGGCTCAGTGATAGAGTGCTCGCCTAGCACTTGTGAGGCACTGGGTTCGATCCTCAGCACCACATAAAAATGAAATAAAGATATTGTGTCCACCACCTACAACTAAAAAATAAATATTAAAAAAATACCGAATGAATGATTTAATATATAAATAGGTATTATGGTTATTGTTATAAAAGATGGTATAAATTATTAATGGCTATCAGATAATATGCACTGTTAATGAGGAATACATTACTTAAATACACTGTCTCTTAGGCTGGGGCTGGGGCTGGGGCTCAGTGGCAGAGCGCCTGCCTCGCACATGTGAGGCACTGGGTTCGATCCTCAGCACCACATAAAAATAAATAAATAAACAAAATAAAGATATTGCATTCATCGATAACTAAAAAATATTTTAAAAATAAATACACTRTCTCTCCTATTCACTTTCATCATTTAAAAAGTCAAAAAAATTAATGTGGTAGAAAAACACTACCCAGGATARTAAAGAATGAAAATTAGATGTTTTACATTGCATTCTGTGAGAGTTCTCGACTTCTCTCTCCAAAACCAAAATGAAAAAAACTAAAATACCTTCCCAGAAACAAAAACACCACTTTCCTGAAAAGGCATTCCTCCTTTCCAACTTTTCACAGTCCTTTTTTGTTCAGCAGTGTAGAATCTGAAGATACAACAACTTCCGTACAAGATGGCGTCGCCCAGTCCCCCACTCCGACTGGGGTCTTCCCGGTCCGCAGTTGGACCGGAAGTGGTTACGGTCCTAGTGGATCCGGGTGGGTGAGCGCAGGCGGTCGCGAAGGTTCCAGCTTTTCAGGGAGAGATGAGGTGCCGCAGGTGTTCAGGCCCAGTCTGAGGCCGCAGGTGAGTGAAGCTGAGGGACTAGCGAAGTCTTCACTGTTCCTGTGTATCAGGCGGAGGGGTTTTTTAGCGTCGACAGGAAGGGTGGTGTGGTGATGTTGGGGACATCACTGTGTGCGTGGGTGAGTGATTTGCGGGGAGCACGCTGTCCCCAAGCGAGTTGGTCCTGCCCCTCTCCCCGCCCTCGGGCGCGGCCTCCAGGTCTCCCCAACCCCTGGGCGGGGGCGGATCAGCATCCAGGTTCTCCGGGAGACTCAGGTCTTGGCCCTGACTCYCTCCCCATCGGCTCCTTCGATCCCTTCTTCCCTTTTGGGGAGGATCTTACAAGCCCTCGGGGCTCCCTGATCCAATCAGCTGAAAAGGAGGCCGTGCGGCCGCCCCGCCAACTCCTCGGCTGTATTCCTCGCCTCCGCAGCTACAGCCCCTCCTGGAGTCGTGGGGACCAACCCCGCACCCATCACCTGGGGGACAGAGSCGAACGAGAACCTTCAGAGTTATTTATTAAAACGTTTAAGTACAAACAAACCCAAGCCCTTAAACAGGCTCCTTAATAAACCCACTTTATACCAGGGGTTGCAACGGAAGGTCTTTGTTTATTCTTTTTTTGCTGTATGGTCGTTTTTGTGGTGCTGGGGATTGAACCCAGGGCCTCACAAATGCTAGGCAAGCGCCCTGCCGCTGAGCTACGTCCCCAGCTCCGAAAGGTTGTGTTCATTATCTGGATTAGAAAGTGGGGAGAAAAGCGGTTTAATAGCGGGGAGGAATGTTTAAATTTGGTCTCGTTTAAATTGTTCTAAAAAATGTATCTTTTAAGACGTTCATTGTACTATAAGCATTCAATCTTGTGCAAAAAAAAAAAAAAAATCATGGAAAATTGTTGTCTATAGGTTTTTCTGTCTTTCTGTCCGTACTGGGGATTGAACCCAGGGCACTTCACCACTGAGCTACATCCCCAACCTTTTTTTAATTTTTTATTTTGAGACAGGGTCTCGACAAGTTGTTCATGCTGACTTTGAACTTGGGATCTTCAGGTCTCAGCCTCTCCAGTAGTTTTTTTTTTTTTTTTTTTTTTTCTGTAGCTATAGATGGACAGAATGCCTTTATTTTTATGTGGTGCTGCAGATCCAACCCAGTGCCTCACGCTTGCTAGGCAAGCGCTCTGCTACAGCCCCAGCCCCGGAAAAAAAAATTTAAACAAGACAGGTCATCTCTATATATTTTTTCTGTTTCTTTTCTTTTCTTTTTTTCTTAGTTGTCGATGGACACAGTGCCTTTATTTTATTTATTTATTTTAATGTGGTGCTCAGGATCGAACCCAGTGCTTCATAAGTGCTAGGCAAGCACTCTGCCACTGAACTACAACCCCAGTCCTATTTTTTCTATTATCTTTTTTTCTTTACTAGCCCTTTACCCAAAAGTAAGAACTATTATCACTTTGGGTTGTATTTTTTTTAAATTTCTTTTTCTTTATGTTTATTGACTAGTGTGTGTACAGGTAAGATATATATTTGTAAGATTTCGTGTTAAATCTTTTACAAATGTGTATTTTTTTTTCACAAATATAGCATATTGTCCGTATTCTGCAACTTGATGTTTTGTGCTTAAGAATGGTTCTTGAGGGCTGGGGTTATGGCTCAGTGGTAGAGAGCTTTGCCTAGTATGTGTGAGGCACTGGGTTTAATTCTCAGCACCACATATAAATAATAATTTTTTTTAAAAAAGGACCATTGATAACTAAAACAATTTTTTWAAAAAATGGGTCTTAAAATACTTCTTGTCACTATAGAGATCAATCTATTCATTTTTTTTTTAAAAAAACTTTCTTTAGTTGTTGATAGACCTTTATTTTACTAATTTATTGATATGCAGTTCTGAGAATTGAACCTAGTACCTCACAAACATTCCAGGCAAGTGTGCTACTGCTGAGCCCCAGCTCCAGCCCCTCAACCTATTCATTCTTTTTGCTAAGTTCCATAGTACTTTAACATTGCAGAGTGTGTGAAATTCCCGTAGGTTGTTTCCAGTTTTTCACTGTTGGACCCATGGTGTGCAAAGAACATCAGTCCACATGTCTCTGTGTGCCCAGATGAGCATTTCTCAAGGATGGTTTCACTTAGATGGAATTGCTGGATAGGAGGGGGTGGATGTTTAATAATGCCAAACTACCTACCATAGTGTATAGTAATACCAATTTCACACAGGCTCTTTTAAATATTTGATGTCTTTTTTTTTTGCCATCTGATGGATGCAAAATGATCTCTTATTGCTATTGTAGTTTGTATTCCCCTAATTCCTGTTGAGATTCAGAATCTTTTCACAGTCAGCCGTTTATAATTCCTCTCTTGAGAAATTTTTTCTGGTGGATTGACTTTTTCTTGTTGTACTGGATTTTAATCTTTTGTCATTTATGTGTGTTTTAAATATTTACTCCCAACTTAATACTTTCAAAAGTTGTTCCTTGTCCCTTAACTTTAAGGCATCCTGTTGAAACAAAGCTTTGCATTTAATGTTTACATGAACCAGTCTTTTCTGTGTGTGTGCTTTGTGGCTATCATTTCTTTCTTTCTTTTTTTTTTTTTTTTTTAAATTAAGGATGTATTTTTTTTTATATTTTATTTTATATTATTTTATTTTAGGTGTAGATGTAGCCATATCCCCAGCCCTTTTTTTAAATTTTATTTAGATGTAGATGCACAACACAATGCCTTTATTTATTTTTTATGTGGTGCTGAGGATCGAACCCGGGTCCTGCCTGTGCTAGGCGAGCGCTCTACCACTGAACCACAATCCCAACACCCCGCCCCCCCCCCACACACACACATCATTTCTTACCCCGGTGGTTCTCAGAAAGGGAGAGGGTTTGTTGCCTTATGGACCCACTAGTGATGTCTGGAGACATTTTTTGGTTGTTCAGCTGAAGGGTTGCTGTTATTATCACCTGATGAGTGGAAGTCAGGGATGCTGCTCTACATCCCACAATGCACAGGACAGTGCTCCCCAATGCAGAAAATTTTCAACTTAAAATGTCAGTTTTGCTGAGGTTAAAATATCCTACTCTATTGTAAGACAGAGCAGGGTTTTCTCCTATAACTATTATTTTTTCTCCAATAAATTGTCTTTATACAATTTATTGGAGAAAAAATAGTTATAGGATATTTTTGAGGTTTTCTTTAATTTCTCTAGAATTGGTGTATGCATGTGTGTATGCATGTGTATAATTATTATTTTCTAAATAGTGTCACTTTGTATATCATCCACTCTTAAGCTGTTAATCTGAAATGCCATATTTATTGTATACTGATATCTCACACAAACAAGATCTGTTTTTTTTTTATTGATTGTTCAAAACAGTACAGAGCTCATGATATATCATCTTTCATACATTTGACTCAATTGGGTTTTGAACTCCCATTTTTACCCCAAATACAGATTGCAGAATCACATCTGTTACATACTCACATTTTTACATGATGGC